CGGTTCATTTGGAAGTCCGTCGAAAATTTATTCGTCCTTGTTGATTTCAGAGGAATCCTTTTCGGGCCAGTTTGATTAACGCGAAATTTTTAACGACATTTTCAGGTACAAGGATGAATACGTGATAAATTACAGTCAAAGAGGAGGAATCAACGTTGTCACCGAAAAGCAAACGCGAACGTCGCGTCTCTTGATATCCAAGGCGTTACCTGCTGATTCTGGAAATTACACGTGTGCACCGTCTACTGCCGTGCCAGCCAGTGTCCTAGTCCACGTACTCAATGGTGGGTGAGTCAGAATAATAAAAATTCCGTGGAAAAATCGCTCCACCTCTACGTAAATTCCGCTATTAGGAGTAAAGCACTGGAGCTTTTTGTCAATTTCCCCGGTTCTAAAAGATTTCATTATTGATCTAACCCAGATTTCAGTTTTCCCGAGGAATTTTAGAGCAGAAATTATTATAGCAATGAGTGTTAGTTAGACGTGTATCGAGTTGAAGAAAAATTTCCAAAATACCTCTAGTCGGTGTAATTATTTAAATGATATTTTTAAAATCAATTACGGAGCAAACATTATAGAACATTATAATAAGCGGGGATATTACATATCAGGTTACATATAAATTTTTAAAAATATTAGCATTTCATATATTTAATGGAAACTTTTATTATTGATTTAAATTTTATTTCTTTAATTCAATTGAAAGACAGAAATTATTATAATAATTAGGATTGATCGCTATCAAATTAGATAGGGATTTTGGAGAATGGTTTTAATTAATGTACTTGATAGGTATATTTTAATAATGGAAACTTTTATTATTGATTTAAATTTTATTTCTTTAATTTAATTGAAAATCAGAAATTATTATAATAATCAGGATTGATCGCTATCAAATTATATAGGGATTTTGGAGAATGGTTTTAATTAATGTACTTGATAGGTATATTTTAATAGTGGAAACTTTTATTATTGATTTAAATTTTATTTCTTTAATTCAATTGAAAGACAGAAATTATTATAATAATCAGGATTGATCGCCATGAAATTAGATAGGGATTTTGGAGAGTGGTTTTAATTAATGTACTTGATAGGTATATTTTAATAATGGAAACGTTTATTATTGATTTAAATTTTATTTCTTTAATTCAATTGAAAGACAGAAATTATTATAATAATCAGGATTGATTGCTATCAAATTGCACAGGGATTTTGAAGAATGGTTTTAATTAATGTACTTGATAGGGATATTTTAATAATGAATTACAAAAGAATTTTTTAAAATATTAATAGTTCTTTAGTTTTTATAATATGCAGTTACTATGGGTGGATTAAGTAATTTTTATTTTATTCTCAATACATGAACAATTTTAAAGCAGCGTCTTGGAGATCAGAAATTTATTTATATTGCATATTAATGTTTATCTTTTAAATACAAATTCAATTTCCTCGAGTTCTCTTAATCCCGAGAAATTAAATCATTTCCCCTGAGGGGATGGAAAATATTTATCGTACTTCTTTAATTAGTCATACAATTTCCTCCCTGTTAATCTTCTCCTTTAACGAATGTCGGCGCGAGATTCTGCGTTCTTCATCGTAAATCTTGAGGATTTGTGAAGATATCCCTGCGAATAGACGTCAGAAAATATGCAGAGAAAAATCACGACACTTTAAGCTCAGCTGATCGTCCTCTCCCTGGGGATGCAATTCACTATCCTCCTCGTGGTTTACTCTTTATCATGGACATTATCGCTGTATTCTTGAGTTTCTTACGGTACACTATGCGAATATAACACTTTACTGACTTCTCGAGTCAGAAACATGCAATAAATACGCTTATTTGAAAAATATAAATAAAACAACTAAGATAGAACACTATTAATTTCTTTTGTAGTGGCATATATGTTCCAGGCATTATTTGATAATTTAAAAAACTTTTAATTTAAAAAATTTCTCACCATGGACGCATAATTAATATTATAGAGAATTATTTAATTAAAATTCTAAAAATTTGTAGAGAACACGTAGGAATATTTTGCTGTTTGATTTTAGGTTTAGAGAAATGACTGCATAGCATCGAGATGGTTCAAGTTTTAGTTATTCTTGAACCACTCATAGAAATTTAATTTATTTTGTTATTCCTAACCTCATATGTCTTCGAGGATCATGGTACACGGTTGCCATACTACACAGAAAAATGCATACTTTAGCTTTACGGTCAAAAAGCTTACGTTTAGCATCGTTTCTCGAAAATTATTGCAAATATAAGAAATTGACAATATTGTCCACAAGAAGTCTTCAAACTTCTCACTCTTCTATTCCCTTATCATACTTAAAAATTATGAAGAAAAACACGAACACCCTGTAGAAATATACTATATCAAATTTCGATAAGTAGATGATTTTTATTTTCATTTTAGATATTTTATTTTCTCGTCCTCCCTTCTCCTACTATACTATTTCTTGCAAGAAATTAGTTTCTCGACAGACTGATGCTATACTATACATCACTATTAATAAATCATATTAGTATTGTCAGTCTCTGAATTATTATTAATTTTAGACGTTCCATTACCGAGACTTTCGATTAAAATTTAAAAAACGTATGATAATACGTAAGCCACTGCAATAAGGACCGTGAAACGAACCCTTGGAAAACGTGGAGGTGTGGGGCTTTACGAATGTCATAAATCCCTGGGATGACGGACCTGGTAAGTCGGGGCACAGATAAACTAAACGGAGAAGGTTATAAAAAGGGGATGCAGAATGCAGGCGTCTGTGTCATCAGGTTCTGGCGTCACGCGCCCTCTATAGAATGCAATAAACTTCATACCACTGCCATATGTCGACTAAAATAAGAACTTTCCAGGGAACTGTTGCCCCTTTTGCTCGCAAAAAATTACGTAAATAGATAAAAAACTTCAATATTATTTTTCCTCGCAAATATACATATTTCTACGAGTTTGTACTATAAATGAAGGGAAAAAGAAAGAAATAGGGGATGTTTGGCTATTTACTATGAAAGTCTTATAAACAGTAAGGGAACATTGTTCATCTGATACGTTAATAAATTCACAAAAATACAAATACAGGGTGTCCCAAGAAAATCAATTCACACTTTGCGTGATTCTAAAAACAGAAAAAAGAAAATTGAAAAGAATAAGGTATTAAAGTGTGTATACGTTTTCTTGGGACACCCTGTATATTTTTATATGTCGTTTCTGATGTTGAAGTCAATACTGTCTTCGCGATACTATTAATTATATTATATATATGAGTCGATTATTTTGAAAGTGGCGTAAGTCCATTTATGCTCAAATCGAGATATCGAAGGGTTTGCGTTGGATTAAATTTAAAAATATGGGTAACAGATAACATAGTAGAATAATATCTTTGGGTTTCTAAGGGTGTCAAATTTATCTTCTCGATTGGCATAATTAACATTAACATTGGCATAATTTAATATGCTAATATTAATTAATATGTTTTTGATGGCTATGAATGAAATTACGCCACTTTCAAAATGATCGGCTCATCTTACAATTAATATTTTATTTTTATCTTCTTCGTAACATATTTTGTCTTGGGTTGACTGAGAATTAATTTATTCCACGTTGTATCAATTTTTAATAATTTAGTATCGTGATATAATAGTGTTGTATCATTTTCTTTATTATTGTGTCATTTAAACATTACTCGTGTATGGTTACAGTAAATATGGTTCCCAGATGATAAATTGCACTGTTCAACGCGAATTTTGGAAACAAATTCGTAATCAGAATTTCTTTGTCACCCTTGGTTTTCGAAAATTGTGAGTTTTGCGAAAAATGCACGATTTTTTACTAAAATGAAGTATTACACGAAAAGTAAAAGTCAAAAGGTTAGAAAGTCATTCGTATTTATGTTATATTCGAAGAAACTGTTTTAAATTAGAAGCGATTTGGAAAAATTTTTCATAATTTTGCGATTATTGTGAAAAGGTACATGAAAACATTTTCTTGAATTTTACGTTTATTCTACACTTTCTTCGATGCATCAGGACCACGATACAGACTCGAAGAGTGATATTATTTGGGTTCGTGTATTATTGGAATATATTTTCTATCTCGTATCAGTTTTCGCATTAGCAGGGTTGAATGTTAGGAGTCTGAAGGGTCGTAAACGAGTCAGTTGGTCACGAGAGCGTTGAGATTCTAACGAGCGAGTTTTGCTCACGAGGATAAGAGTCTTGAGAAAGCAACGACAGAGCACCGGAATTTAACGAGAGTTCATAATTCAGAGAAGTTCTGTAATAAAGCAACACACACGAAACGAAGCGCAATTCCAGTTTCGCGTGGATGATGTAAGTAACTGTTCTTTCCTGCTTCATCCACGTGTGACCCCGAGCATCCATCGCCATCTTGAATAGTAATTAACATGGAAGTCCTATATCCGCGCTTCTCCCCGATGCCGAATAATAATTGCCGGTCTGAATAGTTGGCGTTATAGTTATTGCAATCTTCTACGTGTTAAATGAAAATTTAAACTGTGTGTACACAGTCACGATTACCTGCGTGTAAGTTTCTGGAAACACGCGAGGGAACGCAAGTGCCTACTGAAACGCAAAAACCTCGTGATTTTTGTAGCATACAACGTCGCCTCCTGATTATTAAATTTTGCTTAATAATATTTGCATGGTCTCCTAGATTTCTTTAAACACGATTTTAAATAATAAAATAAAAAAAATTATACGCTTCTTGACGTAGTATGCAAAAATATTTTCAGGGGCGTATTTAATATCGTGGTATTTATGTTTTCTAGGATCTGCTGTATAGTCAATTTTCTCCTATTTTTAATTATTTTATTATAATATTATTATTTTTGTTTAATTTTGTTGATTTTAAATAATAATAAATTATACGCTTCTTGACGAAGTATGCAAAATTATTTTTAGAGGCATATTTAATATAGTGATATTTGTGTTTTCTAGGATCTGTTGTATAGTCAATTTTCTCCTATTTTTAATTATTTTATTATAATATTATTATTTTTCTTTAATTTTGTTGATTTTAAATAATAAAATAAAAAATTATACGCTTTTTGACAAAATATGCAAAATTATTTTTAGATGCATATTTAATATGGTGATATTTGTGTTTTCTAGGATCCGTTGTACAGTCAATTTTCTTCTATTTTAATTATTTTATTATAATATTATTATTTTTGTTTAATTTTGTTTTTATTAATTTACCCTAAGATCTATAATATTGTATAGTCAGTTGTACTATACTGTATTATTATAGTG